CTGTCATCAGTTCCGTTCCTCATTGGATTAAGGTGTTCTGCCCCACTGTCACTGAGTACTGAAGCAAAAGCAAATCCTCTCTGGAGGACACTAGCACCATTTCAAACCTCGTATCAGTATGCAGCATTCACATTAAAGTACCAAAAGACAAGACTGAATCACCAAAAACAAAGAGGGGAGGAAAAGAGAACCGAAAGAGACCCCTAGAAGCCCAGATTTTGAATGTGTCAATGTGGTCTTTAAGGTATATGGATTAAGAAATGCAGCAAGATGAATTTGAGTAGAAAATTAGAAGCAATAAAAAGGAACAAAAGTGAGAATTATAATAAGACTGAAAAATAACAATAACTGAAATTAAGAACTTGGTGAGTTTACCATAGATAAAACACAGCCAAAGAAAGGGTTAGTAAATGGAGGAATTAGAGATTTTTAGGATACACACAAAAAAAGGACAAGATACAGAAAAAGCACAAGAGATTTTGCCACGGACTGAATGTGTGTCTCGCCTCACCAATGCCAAATTCACATGCTGAGGCCCTACTGGGGAGAATGTGATTGTATTAGGTGGGTGGAGCCCTCATGAATGGGATTAGTGCCATCGTCAAAGAGGCCCTGGAGAGCTCTCTTGCCCTTCCGCCTTCCGAAGACACCATGAGATGATTGTGAAGCAGGAAGCAGGCCCTCATCAGATACCAAACCTGCCAGCTAGTTGATCTGGACTTGCCCACCTCCAAAACTGGGAGAACTAAATTTGTCTTTAAACCACCCAGTTTATGGTGTGCGGTTATGGTAGGCTGAACTGAGATTTACAGGACCCAGGTGAGAAATTTAACATGCATGTAATTGGTGTCCCAAAAGAATGGATGGGGAGAGGGGAGAGGTCGGCAAGAGGGTGGAGGCGGTATTTGAAGTGATAAATACTGGTGCCACCTGACTGGCGGGTAGCCGAGACAGGCCTCCTTCCTTTCAATTTAGCACCTTTAAAACATTTTTTATTGGAACACATAACACAGGAAATGTCTTTTAAGTATATTATTAACCCAGGTCACGGTTAGGAAATAGGACATTGCTGGTACTCTAGAAGCTACTGCCCACCCCCAGATCAGCCTCCTGATGGCACCACACCTTCCACTAGAGGTAACAGCTACCTTTAATTTTATGATAATCATTTTCTTGATTGTTATGTGTGTATCCCTAAACAGTACATTTTAGCTTTGCTTGCTTTTGAATTTTATAGATGGTATCATCCTGTAGCTATTCTTTTCTTCCTTCTTTTGGTCCATACTCTGTGAGATTTATTTAGTCCATGTTGATGCATCTGTGTCATTGATGAAGTATATACCTCATCTTTTTATCCATTTTCCTGTTGGTGGACGTGAAGAGTGTATAAATCATTATAAATAATCCTGCTTGGACATTCCTAAACCTGTGCCCTAGGACACATGTGCATGCTTCTCTAGAGCACTTCTCTAGAGCACATTCCTGCCATGAGATTGCGGAGTTCTTAAGAATGCCTGTTTTGATTGTCTCCATCGTGCAAAAACAGTAGTACTGGCTTGGACCCCCACCAACCGTGAGGAGTTCCCCAGTCCAGCACACTTTCCACCTCAGAATCACTGTGGCACCTGGGCCTCCCAGTGAGGGACACTCAACAGGCTTCAGCCCTGGGCCCCAGCATGGAAAGCTTATTAGTTACCTCATATGGGCCTGTGTCTTCAGATCAGTAACACCCCAAAACAAAAACCTGTGTGGAGAGAGAAGGCGGGGCTGGAGTCTGTTTGGGTCCTCTTTCTCAACGTAAGTATTCACACAAAACCCTGTCAAGGTCCTTTGACCAGAGAGTGCAAAGGCATAGTGTCAGCACCCTGCTACTAGGCGAGGGGAGCGTGGCATGGTTTTTTTCATCCGACTCCCCTAAGTCATTCCAGAAAATGGACGAGATGTGGACAAGGCTGGTGGCATCGCCTCCCCAGGGGTCTTCCCCTGCCTCGTGCTCTTTCTCTGGAGGCAGGGTTATTTTGGGTCTGGAGCCGTTCCATCTCTGTCAGACCCAGGGCACTGGCCCAATTTAAGGAAAAGAGATTCTGTCCACCGGCATCCCAGCTGTTTAACTGAGGCAGTTCCGCACAGGGGTGTCAGGCGGGGCTGGACTCCTCAGGAGAGAATCAGAAGGGCATCCGCAGGCTGGGGGTGAGGTTGGCCACAGATCTCCCTGTTGTGAGGGGCTGCTCATCAGTCATGTTCGTATCTTTTTCCCATGGCTCTGAACATTTGAAAACACTGCTGGTGGTTGGCGCAGAATGCATTTCTGTACTCAAACTGTATCAGCATCCCGTGGATGGTTCATTGAGACACAGATGGCCGGGGTTGAAACACAGATGGCTGGGCCCCACCCTTGAGTTTGATTCAGCAGGTCTGGGGCAAGGCCTGGGAATTTGCTTTTTCTGACAAGTTCCCAGGTGATGCTGCTGCTGGTACTGGTCTTGGGAGCACACCTTGAGAACCACTGGTCTAGCTCATCTTCAGGCTTCATTCAGTGCTATTTAGTGATGTAGATTGGAAAATCTACTCGGGATGAACCGAGAATTCCCCCAAGTGTTCAGCATTCCTGCTTGACATAAACTTGGTTCGTTCTACGTCCTTAACTTTTAAGGTTTCTGCTCAAGAGCCCATGAAATTAAAAATTACCTTCGCCGCCGCATCGGCCCCACTGCCATAACACACAAATACACATGGCGCACTATGGTGTTAAATTAAGGAGCTTAAATTAAAAGCACATTTCCCTGTTCAGTAAGTCATCTGTTGATCATTTGGCTTAATTAAAATTGGGTATATCATGTACTTACCCTGACTCACATACTGCCTCAACTGCGATGCTGCTTCATCTGTGAATTGATTAAAGGATCTATAAAACTAGCACAGTGCCTGGCTTGTGCTAAACTATAAAAGTGAGATCGCCTTCTGTCTTCATCTAAAGGCACAAACTTCTGGCACAGAATACACACACACACACACACACACACACACACACACACACATAACGTAATAGAAGCTTGAAACTAAACACTGCTTTAAGGAAAACCTGAAGCCCTCAGGAGAGGGGTGAGTGGTTCGTTCATAAGCTATATGTACTGCTGTGTAGGGATGCAGTGTCCTGATGCATTAGGACTAATAACTGTTGGGACAGAGACAGTGATGCCGGTGCTCCAGGCTTTGCTCCCACGTGGAGGACATGTCAGACAGTACCTGTTTCATTTGGTTCTTTTTTCGGAGCCATACACAGCAATCAACTTGGAAAATAATATGGAGGACACTGAGGCTAGCTTGCATCCATCTTGTTCAGTCCCGTGAAAACAGTCATGATTTGAGAATTGATTAGAATGACTTAGAATGATGTTTTGTGCCATTTAGACTATTATATTGACAGGGCGGGTCGCCAGGATCATCTGTGACATCAGGGTTTGTGATGATTCGTTTCTAAGAGGTCTAGTGGAGGAAATATGTCCAAGTTCTTTGTCCTCCCCCTTCCCACCCTCTAGACCCTCTCGTGGCCATGATTCTGAAAATCCTATCTAGTATGAGGTTGAATCGGAGATCAGTCTTTCTGTGTCTTCGTGAAGGTCCAGCCTACCAGCTCTTCCTGGGTCTCCTCCGAGGCATCAAGTCCCGGGGTTAGCACGGAGATAAGAACGGGCTTTTCTCTCAAAGGTTTGTTTCTCTTTGGTCTGTTTGGGGTAGAGGGATCCATAAATACAAACTGTGAATACAATTGTCTCTCGATTCTTGCACGGTAGCAGCTGTGACTGGTAGGTGAGCTCCGCAGTGCTTTTGCAGTGTTGAATGCCCTTGGATACCCATTTCCCTGGGATGTCACTGGTTTATGGGATTTTCACTTGTTCAGCAAGATTTGCACACTTTGGGCCAAAGGTTTGTAAGCTCCGTATAAAAGACAGTGGCTGAGGTGCTTGTTAATTTTGTCCCCGTGGGAAGGACACAAAGCTGGGTGGTCCTCAGCAGCGGGAAGTTGCTGGGTTTTGAGAAGCACTGAACCCAGCTTTAGGAATTCTGTTAAGAACTGTAGTAGGCTCCCACCATCTGTACGGCTCTCTGGAATACAGTAGTGGAGAAGACGTGATCCACCTGGCCTAATGCATAGTGAAGGGATAGGACATACGTGTAAATTGTTTATTACAATGCAGTTACTGGGATACACTCTGCTCTGTCACTGGAAGCTGTCAGCTTTCTTCTGTATGGCAAGCCAAGGAGGGGAAGAACTTGTCTTGATTAAGAGAGAATGGGGAGGCTTCTTCAGGTTGGAAAAGTAGGGGCCAGCCTCCTACTTCCCCATCAGCTGCGCTGGCTAGTCAGTGTCTCAGAAGAGGCAGGACCAGTTTTAATAAAAATAATAGTATCTTTCTAAAATTGATTCACATACAAGTAAGGCACTGACATAATCACAAATTCAGACACTTCTCAATAAAATCTGCGCTTCAACCATAGTACAGCCACCTCCCTGGGATATTACAAACCATGTTTAAAATGCAGCCAGAGTTTTCAACTGCTCTTAAAGTACTTATTTTTAAATAGTTTAGAATTAGAAAATTTTTTGATGGCTTCATTTCTAATAGAGGAAGGGAGATTTCTAGCTGCTGCCTATATGCAAACCACTCTTTAAAAAGTTCCCAGTTTATCAGAAATAAGTTGGGAAATAAAATTCAAGTTTCTTCAGCATCAGGGTAACACTGGTATCCCATATGCTATGTATGGGGTCCCCAATTGTCGAGTAACTAAAATATATTTGGCATGGAAGCTGTACTAAGCAAAATGCAGTTTTTCTTGGATTCAGAGCACGCAGACCTCGGACGGCCCCTGGGTAGCTGCAAGCCTAAGGGGCCGAGCTAGATACTACCGCGCCTGGTGTGCGTGCGTGCGTGTCGGGGGGCGTTCCCCCGCGTCTCCTGCGTGTGGCCCCTCCTGACTCGTGTTCGTTTCCTCTCCAGCCCAGTGACTTCTCCGTGTCTCTGAAAGCATCAGGGAAGAACAAACATTTCAAGGTGCAGCTCGTGGACAATGTCTACTGCATCGGGCAGCGGCGGTTTCACACCATGGACGAGTTGGTGGAACACTACAAAAAGGCACCTATCTTCACCAGTGAGCACGGGGAGAAGCTCTACCTCGTCCGAGCGCTGCAGTGACGGCCCCACCCACAGCCCCTGCCACCTCCAGGGCCTCGGTGCCACACTCACCTCCCCAGAGCCTGGCGGATCTGCCCCAGGAAGAAGCCGCGCTCACGGGCCCTCCGGCGGCGGGCTCCGCTCGGTCCGGTGGTTCATCGGTTCTTGGCTTCCTTTGCCTCGTTTACCTTTGCGTGCAGGTCGGTTCGTTTTTCCACTCGCCAACCCTTTGCCAGGCCGGCCCCTGACACCCACTTTCCGGCCTGCCCTCCTCCCGGCCAGGTTTCCAGAACGGGAGGTGGAAGAGGGCGATGTTCGATCACTTTACTCCTGCTCAACTGAAAACAGCCTTAGTCTGTTCAGATTGTTCATGCTAACAGAAGCCCTCATTAAACAGACATCGGGCACAGTTGGAACGCACCGAAGCTGCCGTTAAGTGAACTACAGAAAGCGGGGGCCGGACGCTCCTGCAGACGTCCCCGGCCCTGGGCCTGGCAGCCGTGGCTCCGTGCCCTTTGCTCTTGCGTGGCTTCCAGACTGTCCAGGGAGTGGACACGCGTGCTGGTCGCAATACCAGAACCACCAGATGAGAGAGTAGTGAGGAAAGTCCAGTGCCTTCAGGGCTATGCTTGCAATAAAAGAATTTCCTTGAAAGTCAGTCTGCAGAAGCGAGACCCGTGACTCAAAAAGACAGATGTTGTGGTTGTTAATCCCCCAAATGTGCCATCCGCATAGTGCTTTTTCCTCTCGCCCTTCGGCTTGTTTAAATTTCACAATTATGTATTTAATTCTCAAAATAATATGTATCCGTAGCCATTTGTTGACACTAATACAGATGATTAAGGAAAACAGCTGATCTTTGGGGAAGGGGAGCTACTGTACACTTTACACACACACACATACACACACCCACCCCATATATATATATATATATATATATATACACATATATATAATATATATATATTATTTGCTTTACAGGGAATTTTTCAGGGTTTACAAGAGAATATGTGATTGGTAGTAAGAGACACAGAATGTTTATGAAGAAATTGCATTTTCTTTTCTCTTTACATTTGAACTTCTTTATAGTTTAAATATACAGTCTGGAGATGGCACATTCCTACAACTGAAGAAGGGGTCTTGAGACCTCCTAAACTTGCATACTCAGTTTTTTGGATATTGTAATAAAAAAAAAAGTATTATGACAAGACTATGTGTGTATTTATCTTTGGGAAAACTCAGAGTCCAATCTGGGAGAGTAATTGCTCTAGCATTTACTGGACGCTCAGTGCCTATGGGGAAACAATTTTTAGAGGAGTTTAACAAATTTATTATTTGCGTGTTTTCTTTTTCTACCACCACGTATTTTGTATGCTGAAATAATAAATTTTAATTAGTGAAACTCCAAGAGAAAACAGAATCTCAAGCTTGGTCGTAACTTTACTCTCTGGAAATTATTTGTTAAAAAATGTTGTACCAAACTTTGGTCAGCCACGCTGCTCAGCACCAGCTTTTCTCTCTCCACCCGTGTCTTACTTTCATTCTCTCAATTGGTACACAAATCTCGAACAGTTGCAACGTGCCAGGTGCTGGAAACAGTCACATCACAGAGGAGTTGTGCCTTTATGGGCTAACGACAGCGCATGTGTGTTCAGCACCCCATCAATGCCAGACTCGCAGACACAGCGTCCTCACTCGTTCCTCATCACAACCCCTTGAGGTGGTCCTGCTCTCATCCCCCTTAAATAGATGGAGAAAATGGGGCACAAAGTAAATGCACAAATGGCTGTTACATGGTCGGAGAGGGTTGCAAACCCCGAGAGCTGGCTTTGGTGCCACACCCTTCCAACATCAGCCCAGGGGGCTTCCAGGAGAAATAAGCAATTTGGTGAGAGCTTACACTTAACCTACCATTCCTGTTCTCTGTGAGTTCATTGTATCTCTTTGTTGCCTTTGATATAAATTAGACGTTTGGGGTCTGGTACCTGGAGTTGGGGTGCCCAGTTCCATAAGAATATATATCCAGGTGAGTGAAGTGGATCATTACTTTAGACAAAGCACATCTGTTCTATACCTTATCCCTGGAAATTACAAGTCCTTCTGACTTTTTCAGGTCTCACTTTGTGTGTTCCATTTTGACCTGATGTTAGAATCCCTCCATATCATGAAATGAGTGTCTGGATAGCTGAAAGACTTGGGTTTACACATAGCAATTAAGGAAGAAACAAGCAATTAAAGGACACAATACAGGTAGACATTTTGGCTTCAGGAACTTCTCTAAGGCCTATAGTTAAAATTGACCGTCATTTTCAATCTTGTTGCAAACCACCATGGGAAGTCCTCCAGCTGCCTGGGGCAGATCATGATTCATATTTATAAAAGTTCCAGCATCCCTGGAATTCCTGGCACCAGGTGGACTGGTGGAGGGTAGATTGATAGCCACAGTATGAGCCTGTTGACGGTGGGTAAGGCAGTCAAGGCAGGGTCCCCATGTGGTTTGGAGTGTGGACCGCTGATGCTCTGTCCAGGTGGCCCTTCTGCCATCACCTTCCTGCATGTCCGAGATTTCCCGGACAGATCTTGAGTTTCCATTCCCTTGCCTCTGCAAGTTGGACGGCAAAGGACAATAGAGGGCAGTCATTTTATAGTTGTGTGACTCTGCTCATTTGTTTGCATTCAGTGTGCCTTCATTTTTCAGAAACAGCCCTGCTGCGTTACGGCCCTGAACTACCAAGCCCTCACACGTGACGAGTGCCAGATGCTATTAAATCATGTTTCTAGGGAGCTAAAACCGGCCATGTTTTCTCCCACAGTGCATCACAAATTATAGTCTTAAATTATAATTAGAATCTTTAGGTCTACTGAAACTCTGACATTTCAAACAAAGTATTTTTGGTGCCAGTACAATTTTGTCTTTGGTTTCTATATGTGAAGTGGTTTATAAACTACTTCTCTACCATTTCTGCCACCTGATATCAGAATGCCAAATTAATTTTAAGACCAAAGTTTGGAACTGTGAGAGCCTAGAAACGCTTGAAAGTATTCTTTTAAAAATACAACTTTCCGGTAAATCCAGGCCTGGTCTTGGGTACTTTCTCACTAGAACTCCGCCATAGGCGTGTAATTCCTGTAATTACCACTCGTGTAATTAATACAGTCGTTTTAGGTCTGTCTGACACCTTGCGGGGGTGCTGTCTGCTCTCCCATGAAGCAGTATCCTTCTTCCAGACTTGGGAGCTGCTGCCAAAGCCAAGTGTGGAAGTGCCCGGTTATCCTTATTAACCCTGTGACTTCAAGCGAATTAGCTCCTCTGAGTGTGTTTGCTTTTGGGCAAATGGGGCTGCTTGCCATCTTGGCTATTCCCAGGATTGTGTGAGAATTATCTGGGATAGAGCACTTGACCAATTTGGTAGGACATGCTACACAGCACTCATCAATGCCGGTCAGGCCGATTGTGTGTCACATAATCTACTTGACATTTTCCCTCATTTGTTGGAACTTTGGTGCCTCCACCAGCCACAGGCTTCCTCAAGGAGCCTGGCTGCAGAGGTGTGGCACCATGAGACCCTCAGCGTGGCCCCTACCGGCAGTGTCAGCGCCAATCCACCCCCACTCCTTAGAACTTAGACTCTTCAAGTATGCGAGGACGTGTGTTCCAAGAAACTCCTCGTTCTAAATATGTAACCCATCTGTCATTAGAAGCCCAGGCCCCAAAGCCATACTTAGCTATACCAAGCACCATACTCACCTTACATTCTTACCTCAAGTAGTCGACAAATTCACATCCCTAAAAAAAATCCTCCCTTGAGGAGCAACCATTTTTGTTTTCTCCTTGGCGTGGAGGTGGGGTGGGCAGGGTAGAACATCCTCCAAGTTCCTTATATTTCTTAGCTTGAGCTGACAACACAAGAGTCATTGAGTACGGGGCAAAAGTTGAATAGACCAACCAATGTTCAGAAAACCTCTGCCCCCTATCTTAGCTCGAGCTGCTATAAAACAAACAAACAAAAAAACACCATAAACCAAATGGCTCATAAACAACAGAGATTGGTTTCTCAGTTGTGGGGACTGGAGGTCCCAGATCAGGATGCCAGTGTGGTCAGGTTCTGATGAGAGCCCTCTTCCGGGAGGCAGACATCCGACCCACCATGTTGTCTCCTCAAATGGCAGAGAGACTGCTAGCTCATCAGGGCTGTAGTTCCATTTGTGAGGGCACCTTCCTCCTCACCTAACTCCCTCCCAAAGGCCCCGCCTCCAAATGCTATCACATTGCGGATTAGATGTTAACATGAATTTGGGGGCAGTGCAAACATTCAGTCCCTAATGCCCTCTTCTCAACAAAAGCTATTCCCACTGTCCTGAGGACACTGGCCGTTGCTCTTCTAAATACAGCTCACTCAGGTCTAGAGGGCTTATAGTTCCAGCTATTCGAAAATGTTCTTTTATGAAGTTTTTCAACCACCAGATTCTAATTTGAAGGGGGGCAAAGGGCAGGCATCTGTATTTTTAACATGCTCCCTGGAGATTCTGATGTAGGTGGTTTGAGGCCTACACTTTGGCTACTGTTCTAAGTCTACTTGAAACCTTTGGAAAAATCACCTGCTCCCACCCCCTTGTGTTCACAGTACTGACAACAACACACCTTCTATAGCATATCCTTTCTTTGGATCCTATACAGAATAATGTCAGACCTTGAATAACTAGAGTGGTCTTTTTTGAAAGAGTAATCTTTATTTGCCTTAACCTCCATGTGGATTTCTCATATCACACCTTCTAGCCATACAAGCTAACTGGAAAGATTCATTCCATCCTTGGAGGATCCTGTTACATGACAGGAAGTTATTACCGAAGATGGATGAGCCTGACAGCTGGTATAAAGCTCACTTTGCCAGATTTTTAAAATGCATGGCCTCCTCCCTAGGGGGTGGGCGTTTGGCCAACTCCTCAGCTTGGAGACCAGGTTCTTCAGCTAAAGTCAGGAACCAGAGGACCAGAGCCTGGTACTCCAGCTCCTGCTAATGGGTGAGGGCATGCGGCTTTCCAAGAATAGGTCATGGCCTGGGGAAACCCCAATTCCAAAGAGGCAGTTGTCCTGTCTTCGTGGTTGTCAAACCCTTTTGGCATGTGCCCTGGGAGTAAGCCTGGGCCCTGGTGTGACCACCACGTTTGGAGACCTCTGTACCATTTTAATGGCCTCAGAAACACTGGTACAGAGCCGCACTCTCTGCACAACCATTTAAGGATATTATAGTTGTCAGACATTATTATGCATGTAGATAAGGTGAACTGCTTTGCATAATAATGCCACATGCTTAGAACCTTTGTATAGCTTGTTAAATGATGTGAATGAAAAGGGAAAAATAGATTAATATGCTAAGTTGTCATCTAAACGAAGCCCAAGGTATCCCAAGATTCCAGACCACATCTGCTTGTAGAACCACAGAGGCACTGTATTCAAATGATTTCAACCTCCAACTCCCATCTAGTCAGATTGGATTCAGATGCTAACGGTATTCATTTCTACAAAGCAAGCAGTTCCCTTCCAGCGCTGTGCATAGGAAAGAATCATAAGAAAGGAATGACCTCGAAGTAATGAAACCAATTAAAACATTTGCCTAACCAGAACGTAGATATCCAAATAGCATTTAAATCACAGTGGTCATATTAGGTGTTGGAGGCTCAGCGGAGCAACCTTTGCTAAACAGGCTTTCGGAGCTCTTCTTTGGGGAAGGTCCACCCACACTGCAGGTGTAGCCTCTGACTTCTCAGTGATAGATTTTCTTGGTGGGGATGGTGATATTGGCTACAAAATTATCTAGAAATCATTTTGAGCAATTGGAAATGTTGTATTTTCTTTACACTTTTTAATATTTCCCAAATTTTCTACAATGGATATAAATTATTGGAAAGAAATATACATTTAAAAAATTTTGTATTTAAAATTGCATGGGCCAAAACGGTGAATACAAAATCCATGCTCAATTGGTTGTATTGGTTGTAGAAAAATATTTAGGAGAAAGATTTCTGCTCTGGACTTTGCTTGGCTTCCTGAAAGTATTAGGAAATAATTTTCTCTTTAGCCAATATTTTTATGCAAAATGACTTAAAATCATAATTGCCAAATTAAACATGTAGTGAAGTCATTTAACAGCATAATGAATATTGTGAAATAGAGAATTTGTAACCTGGGTCATCTCGAATCTTCTCA